ACCTCTAGTAATATATTTACTGAGAAAAATGTTGTCGTGTTCAATACTTATTTTACCCGCTGTATTTCAGCTATGCTTTGGACTCTGTAATGTTAACCTGAACCTGTGGTTTCAGAGTGACTCGGACCCTGCAGTGAAGCTGGAGTTTGATGATGATGGAGACGGACCAGCTGGAGACAACGCTGTACCCAAAGCCAAAGCTCCGCGAGCAAAGAAAGAGAAGAAAGAGCCTGGTTAGTAATTTTAACCCAACCGCTGTGATGAGATGTAGGAAAACACCGTCTCATCATCTTCACCACTGTTCCAGGAGCTCCCCGAGTGAGAAAACCTGCTGCACCCAAAGCTGCCTCAGCTAAGAAGGTGAAGAAGAGAAACCCCTGGTCTGATGACGAGTCCAAATCTGACAGTGACCTGGAGGAGAACGAGCCCGTCATTCCCAGAGAAACCAAGTCTCAGAGGGCTTCAGGTAGAGCAGAAACAAACCACAGCTTCTCCACTGCAGCAGGAAACGTCTCATCAGAGCTTTCATCACACATCACTAACTTCACTGAGTTTGTTTTCAAAGTAATGAGCTCCAGATTAGACCAACATGAACCAGAGATCATTACTGATGCTTGACAACTTGAAGTCCAGGTTTGTAACAAACGTAATGGTTTTGACAGGATTCAGATTCTTCAGTTAGTTTAGCAGAGCAAAGATGAACCTAATTATTGATAATAAAAAGAAATCAAACTCTTTATACCTTTTATAGTTGGAGCTTTTAGATACATCTACAGCTGCCTGCCACTCAGGCGGTAAAGAAACAGGTGCAAAGAACACAACAAATAACACAAAGTATGTGGAGGACTCCAAAAGCAGCATCTTAACATGTGGAGGAGCATGATGATGATGATGATGATGATGATGATGATGATGATGATGCAGTTAGATGCGGTTCCTACATTTTCTGTAGTGGTTTCATTAAAATGAATCCATGTGGTAATAAATATCTTACGTTGGCCGATGATTGAGACAAAACTAACAACTCTTTGTTGTTGGTTTATTTTACAGTCACATGTTTGAAATAGTCTTAAAAAGGAAGAGTTTAGAGCTGGGCGATATGGCCTAAAATCAATATCACGATATATTGACCAGTTTACCTCGATGATGCACGATAACTCTTACCATCCACCGCCCACAAGTACACGGTGTAGTATAGTCATAACACTATACACTGTGTCCATGTTTTTAATCAAAGTTTACATTTTGAACAGCTTTTCTGTAGTTTATATTTGTCATTTTAGTGTTTTTAATATATTTAATAAACATTTTTGACAAGACTTGAGTCAGATATAGTCATACAATTATTTAACCATCTCCATAAATTTTCAGTGCAAACACATTATGTATGTATGTATGTACTTTAACTTTATATTTTTTTAAAATATTCCAAATATGTCTTTTGTACTTCACAAAGTAACTTTACATGTTTTATGTTAGACTGGCTGATTTATCTATTAAAATAACTTTCTTTCAAAAAGATTACATTATTTAGAGAGCTCATATAATCATTTAATACTTTTTATTCTTCAAATATTTATTGAATCACAGAGCAGTCACAGTATGGTTCTAAATATAAGATAAGCTACAAAAAATAAACTACAAAAAGAACATACCGTTTGTTTGTTTTTTGTTTTGGTTGTGGGGGGGGCTAACTGTAAGCGGACACTCGTCTTTTCTATAAAGGGGCAAAGTTCATCTGAGTGAATATTTTGGAGAAGCAGCGGCTCTCACAGAACTCAGCCTGTGTGCACCTCGCTCCTGTAACAGCTCTGTGGAGGAGAGGAGTTAGGTCATGTTAGCAAAGTTGGACATATCTGTTAGATAACGAAGCTCTGAACACATAAACTTATAGTGAGTCAGATTTTAGAGACAAACGTCTCTGGTAGCTCAGGAGCAAAGTGTGGAGAGAGGACGGGGTTTGCTCAGTCAGGACAGGAGCTGCAGGCTGACCGTTCATCCTGCAGACTGCTGCACCGAGTCGACATCAGAAAGACCCGCCCTGCTCTGCTCTGATTGGATAAAGCTGTGGGGTGCGTTTGATTCGTTGAAAGCAACGTCTGTTTAAAGGTATCAGACTGGGCTGCCCAGTTTTGTTGCGGTCTCACAACAGAAAACAAGCAGGTTCTCTGACATGGGCAGAATGACGTCAGTCATGAAATTAGCATATCAAGAGTTTTTTTACTGGTATTATCG